CCACGGATCAGCTGGGCCGGGCCATACAGGATCTACCGCGACCCACGAATCAGCTGGGCGGGGCCATACAGGATCTACCATGACCCATGGATCACCTGGGATCTACCGTGACCCATAGACCAGATGGATCTAGTGATACTGCTCTATTGTGATCCATGGATCAATCAGATGATCAGGCTAGACTGGATCCAGCAAGATCTACTGTCTGACAAACTAGATCAGATCTATGAAGTGACTGGATCGCATGAGACTGGCTCTACTGAGATCCACCGATCCACTGGATCAGTCTAGATCGGCTCTGCTGAGATCCATGGACCCACTGGACCTGTGGTCTAGCGAGACCGGTGGGGTGTTTGGATCGGGCTGGATTGGCTCTATTGAGATCCAGGGATCGAGTGGATCTGTCTAGACGGGCTCTGTCGCGCCCTAGGCCTGTATTGACCCCAGCGAGATCCCGGGATTGACGCAGGCTGGATCTCACAGCATCCAGGGATTGATTGCACTCGGCTCCCGGCGGCAGGGGAGGGGTGGCCGGTGGGGACGGGGATTGGGCAGGCAGCAGAAGGGGGAGCCTCACCTTGCGGTCGCTCAGCCCCGACACCGTGTCCACGTACTCCTCCTGGATCATGAAGGCGGCCAGGTTGGCCGTGTAGCTGGCGAGGAAGATGACGGCGAAGAAGGCCCAGATCAGCACCATGATCTTGCTGGTGGTGCCCTTGGGGTTCTCCACCGGCACCGAGTTGTTGAAGACCAGAGCCCAGAGCAGCCAGATGGACTTGCCAATGGTGAACTTGGAGCCCCCCGTGCCTGCAAAGCATCAAGGGAAGGGTCAGCCCGCACAGCACCTCTGTGCCCCCCACCCCGCCCCCCAGCCCTACTGGTGCCCCTCACTCCCGACCCGCAGCCCCCTGCTGTCCCCAGGCGGAGCAGCGGGTGTGAGGGTGGGACTCACGTTTCCCGTCGGCCAGGCTGCGGTTATAACCCACGGGGCTGAAGTACTCGAAGATGAAGACGGTGACGGCCACCACGGTCAGACACATGACGAACATCATCACCCAGACAGCTGGGCTGTAGGGCTCTGCAGGGGGAAGGAACAGTCAGTGCTCGGACACCTGGGTTCTATGCCCAGCTCTGGGAGGGGAGGGGGGCCTAGTGATTAGAGAAAGGGGGTGGGGAGCCAGGACTCCTGGGTGCTCTCCCAGATCTGGGTGGGAAGGGGTTCTAGTGGTTAGAGCAAGGTGGGGGTTGGGAGCCAGGACTCCTGGGTTCTATTCCCCACAGCCCCCCTTGCTGGCAGAGGCTGGGGCCAGAGTAGCTGGGAGCTCCCCACACAGCCAGCGTTTCTGCCCTGCTCCCACAACGCCCCCTGGTGGCGGCAGGTGCTGACCCAGGAAGGCGGAGGGCGAGACGGTCCCGTTGCTCCGTGAGACCATGACGCTGATGCCCGTCTCGACGAAGGGCACGGAGAAGTCGATGATCTCGGAGCGTTCCTCGTTGATAGTCAGGGAGCCGATGGCCATGTCTGCACGCAGGTAAAACACCTGGGGGAAGACCGAGGGGGAGGAGTCAGTGAGGGGGGCGGAGCCTTCAAAGGGACATTCTCCCTCTCCCATGCAATGCTAGGCCGTCTTACCCAGTAACCCAGCTGTGCAGTTCAGGGGGGCTACGGTGGGACCCCAAAGCGAGCAGGGTATTTCTGGAAAGGATTTGAGGGGGAGGGGAAGCAACCAGGTGAGATCTGGGGGGTCTTTGAAAGAAACCCCCAAGGTGCCCAGGGATTTCTGGAGGGAGGCAGAGAAATTGAGGATCCCCAAGAAAGGGGAAAGTGGCACCAACCTATGTGGGCTGGGAGCCAGGACTCCTGGGTTCTCTCCCTGGCTCGGGGAGGGGAGTGGAGCTTAGTGGTTAGAAGGAGGGGGGTTGGGAGCCAGGACTCCTGGGTTCTCTCCCCGGCTCAGGGAGGCTGGGGGGCAGAGATGTCTCACCTCCCCGATCATGCCGTTCCAGACCCCGTCGATCTTTTTGCCGTGCTTGCCGTTGGTGACCAGGTAGAGGTCGTAGGTGAAGCCCACGGTCTTAGCCAGGCGCTTGAGGATGTCGATGCAGAATCCTTTGCAGCATTTCTTCTCAAAAAGCAGTGGGTCCGTGGGGTGACTGGAGGGGGAGGGAGCAAAACAGAAATGGAGATGGACAGAGAGCACAACTGTGGGGAAGCTCACAGCGCTGGGCGGAGCTCCCTGTCACGGGCACTGCCGCGGGGAAGCTCACAGCGCCAGTGGCACTGCCTCAGGGAAGCTCGCAGCACCGGGGGTACTGCCACGGGGAAGTTCGCAGCACTGGGTGGAGCTCCTCGCCAGGGGCACTGCCGAGGGGAAGCTTGCAGCGCTGGGCAGCGCGCCCGGCTGGGGGCACTGCCGTGGGGAAGTTTGCAGCGTGGGTACCTGTCAGTGCGGTTCAGCTGGTTGCGGCAGGGCACCGAGTCCCGGATGCATGTGCCGGTGGCCGGGTCGATGTTCTCGACGATGACGAAGGGCCGCTCCTCCAGCGTGGCCACCGTCAGGTGCTGGTCGTCGTCCACCGGCTGCAGGAACTTGCCATAGCGCGACCAGACCGGGTACTTCATGCGTAGGATCTGGTGCTCCCAGCTCCCGACCTACACGGGGATGGGGTGGGGGGGCTTCACTGGGGGTCCCTCCCTAGGGCCTGAGCCCTGGTCCCGCCAAACTCACCCAGCACCACCGGATACACCCCAGAGTCACCCTTGCCCCTCAAACCTTCCCCTCTAAACTCACCCCCTAAATTCCTCAACCCTGCCCTCCAAATCACCCCATGATTCCCAAACCTTCCCCCAAATCATCCCACTCTCCCTGAAACTGCCGCTCCAAACTCACCAACACCCCCCAAACCTGCCTCAAACTCAACCCAAAATCTTCCCCCAATCTCCCTGAACCTGCCCCTCCAAACTCACCAAAAACCCCCAAACTCACCGACACCCCCCAGGCCTGCCCCCAAACTCAGACACCCCCCAAACCTGCCCCCAACTCACCCCAAAATCTTCCCCCTAAAACTCACCCCCAATCTCCTGAAACTGCCCCTCCAAACTCACCGACATCCCCCAAACCTGCCCCCAAACTCACCCCAAAATCTTCCCCCAATCTCCCTGATCCTGCCCCTCCAAACTCACCGACACCCCCCAAACTCACCGACACCCCCAGGCCTGCCCCCAAACTCAACCCAAAATCTTCCCCCTAAAACTCACCCCCAGTCTCCCTCCAAACTCACCGACACCCCCGAAACCTGCCCATCAAACTCAGCCCCCACCCCAGACCTGTCCCTCCAAGCTTGACCCCAAACCCACCTCCAAATCATTGGGCAGAAAGATGGAGGTTGGGAGACATTGTTAGGGGGAGGGGCACAGAGCTGGGGGCATGGCACAGATATAGGGTGGAGCTCTGGTAAGGGATGGGGCAGAGGGATAGGGTGGGGCTCCAGCAGTGGGCAGGGTAAGCCTTTGGCAGAGGGCGGGACAGACAGGTGGGCAGGGTCAGGTACTCACCACCTCCCAAGTGCGCTCCTTGTTGAGGGAGATGACAACCAGCGATGGGTTGATGAGGTAGCCGTCCTCATTGAAGGAGAAATCCTTCTGCCCCCATGTGATGTTCATGAAATACCTGGCGGTGGGGAGAGAGTTAGGGGGGGACCCAGCACGCCCCAGCTCTGCTGGTGCCCCTCTGTCTTGTTGCCCCACTAAGCCAGGTAGACTCCTACCCTGGAGCCAGTGCCCCCTAGAAAGGAAAGGCCCCATGTTCCATTTCCTCTTCTACTCCAGTCTCCAGGGCATTGCAGGTTGTCATAGATCTGTCCCCTCCCCCGTTGGGTTGGTTATTTTGGTTTGGGTTGAGTGTGGTTGGACTGGGTTGGGGCGAATTGGATTGGCGTTGGGTTGAATTCTGCTGATGGGCATATCTGCCCCCATCACACTCATCAGTACAGGTTGTTGTGGATTTGCTGTTGGGTTGGTTATATTGAGTTGGGGTTGACTGAGGTGGATTGGTGTTGAGGTGGGTTGCACGGGGTGGGGTTGGGTTGGGATTACACTGATGGGCACCAGATTCCCGTAGATCTGCCCACCCATCCCTCTGAGTTGGTTCTGTTGGGTTGTGGCTGGGGTTGAGTTGAGTTGGGATTGCGTTGATGGGCACCACATTCTCCCCCACTCTGTCCCCCGCCTCCCTCAACTCACCGGTGGAGGTTTTCATGGATCTGGCTGAGGTTGGGTGCCCGGCAGTCGTTGTTGAACTCGGGAATGAAGCCGTAGTCCCTGGAGAGTGCCTCGGCACCCTTGGCAATGATGGCCACCCCGTTCTGGACGCGGTGGTGCAGGTCGTCCCGCCAGCCGGCCGACAGCACTGTGAAGAGGCCGACGGGCAGGTGCTCAGGCATGTAGTCAGTGCCACCCAGGTTCGTGCCCACCATGAACCAGATATAGCCAGGTCCGGTGAGGCCGGCATCCCGCGCTGCCTGGAAGATGCTCTCCGCCTCCTCGCGGGAGCAGTAGAGCAGGCGGATCTGGGCAGGGATCTCCCGCAGCTGGCGCTTGAGCCGGGAGCCATCAGGGTCATCGGTCAGGTTGAGGGTCAGGACGCCCCGGTGTTCCCAGCCAATGAAGCTGCTGTCGGTCAGCACCTCGATATAATCCACAAAGTCCTCGTAGCCGGGGAAGAGGGTGGTGATGACAGCGAAGGCCGTCCAGTCGTACTCCTCCAGCACCTCGAACATCACCTGCAGCTGCTGCTCCGTCGATGAGCCCAGCTGCAGAAAGGTGGAGCCTTTCTCCTGGGCAGGGAGAAAATGGGGAGGTCAGGGGCTGCTCCTCAATCCTGACCTGCAGCCTCCTATCATCCCAGCCGTGGGATTCCCCCTCCCAGCTCTGCCAATGCCCCTCAGTCCTGACCCGCAGGCTGCCCCTCCTCCTGCAGCTCTGCTGATACATCTCAAACCTGAACCACAGCCTCTGTAAAATTCCACACCTGGGCTTCCCCTTACCCCTCCACAGGTCCGCTGATGTGTCTCAATCCAAACCTGACATCTACACTGCCAATGGTGGGCACAGGGGCATGGAGATGTGGGCTGAGATGATAGGCTGCACTGGGTTAGACAGAGTGTATAGGGTTGGGTTGGGTTATGTTGATTGGTTTGGGTTGCATTGGGCTGGGTGGGTTGGGTTGGGTTGGGTCAGGAATGGATGTGTATGTTGTTTTCCATTATGTCGGGATGGGCTCTGTTATGTTGTGTTGGGTTGGGTTGGGTTAGGGTGAGTTTTGTTGCATGCACTGGGTTGAGTTAGGGTTAGGTTGGAATCGGGAGATATGGGTGAGGTGTGTAGGGATGAGTGTGGGGGCATATAGGTATTGGTGTGGGGCCTGGCAACCCCCTCCCCTTGGATGTGAGCATGATGGCTGAGCCCCTGTTGAATCCAATGTTGGGCATTGAAGTTTGGGTCAAGATGATGAGTCAAGCTGAGTTGCAGTTGGGTTGACTGTGAATGAACTGAGTTGGATTGAGGTTGGTTTGAGGTGAGATTGGGATGGGTTGAGTGTGGTTGTGTCGGGTTGGAGTTCAGTGTGGTCTGGTTGGCTTGGGGTTGGAATGGGTTGAATGTGGTTGAGTTGGGTTGGGGTTTGGTTGGGTTGAGTGTGGTTGGATTGAATTGAGTGTGGTTGGGTTGGCGT